ATTCAGGTAGAGAGAAGACATAAGTGCTCAGCAATTAGTCGTTCAGGTTTCCTGTCATTTCAAAAAGACACATGATGTGTCTGCATCTTGTATTGAACAAGGCTGCTAGAATAAGGTCTGTGCAGTCTGAAATGAAGGATATTCGGGGTGCAGAGTTCAAAAGAAACCTTGCAACAGGCGTTTGTTGAAAACTAATCTGCAGAATAAAGACTGGTTGGATGGGATTGGGAATAAGGAGTATTATGTTGGGTTTTTTTAATTTATATAAAGTTATTGTCATTAAATAAAATGGCACATTTAGTTAATTGCATCTTTAGGGCCAAGATCCTTTTCAGCCTGTTACTACAGATTTGCACAAATATAACAGAAAGCACACCGTAGCCACTGGTGTTTCCTAGGAAGGCTTAAAATCTAACTTTGTGAAATAAACCGCCTGTTAAGATAATCATATGTCTGAGTATGAACAATGAATGTTCAGAAATGGTCTGAGAGGAAACCTAGTGTGGTTACTGGTGAGGAAGGTAATATTAAAGATCATAGATGGGATGGGTGGGCTTCAGTCTTCAGCTATGAAATAGCTCTGTGCCCCCGAATGCAGTAACAGTGGTTTTTTTCTGAAGTGGAAGCTGTGTATATGATACATTAGCAACATTAATGGATGTTGTGATTCCCAGACAGACACTGGAATGACAAAACTGGTTGTCGTTCTCCAGGAAAACTTAGTAAGTTATGTTGTCTTTGGGGAGGACCTTTCATCTGCCTGCTACGCTTCTCAAATCCAAAGAATAGGTGACTCCCATGTTGTCTCTCACTGGACCTTCTGGAAATCAACACACTACTGAAAGATGTGGGAAACTCATAAGAACATAAAAAATGGGTCCCAGATGGCCTGGCCTCTTTTTTCCTTGGACTGGTAAATTGACTGTTTTGAAGAATGCTTTTCAAAATGCTCTTCCCAGACTTGCTGATTTTGTCCATGTCTGGTGTCCATGCAGTACATTACAGCCCACAAACCTCAAAGTGACTTTAACCAGAAAAACCCCTCAAACCCATGGTTAGCTTCAAAATGAAAAAAAAAAGGGGGGGGGATAAGAGAAGAAATTAGGTTTTGGGCCTTCTAGTGTTTTAAGTCTTTGTAGTATATTTCAAGCATGTTTGTAAAATTTCTTTTACATCACTTGGATGCAAACTATTTTGATTTGTGGTGCTTTTTCTCATTAAAACCACAAATGTTGCTTAAGCCCTTCAGTCTGTATGAACTTCAGATGTCTTAAGGACTACAGTAAAATCTTGAGAGCTGTCTCACAGCCAACCAGCCTGTGAAAAGCTCTCAGGTTTAGTTTCCCTATTGCTATTCCAGGGTGACAGCTCGGACAGAAGAAAGTGGAAGGGGAGTGCATCACCCTCTTGCCATAAGTGCAGATCCCAGCCTCTCTCTGTGTCTTGGCAAGATCTCTCAGATCCTGGAAAAAAAACAGAACAAGTTCCCAAAAGCACTGAGTATCAGCAGCAACTGTGACCCTTAAACATCACATCTGTGGCACTGGCCTCAAGATGAGACCTCAGCACAGTCACTACAGGCACTAATGCACATGGCAGTTCATTCTCCCAGTTCAGCAGACTGATCAAGCTGGGACTGCTGGGACTGCTTTCCTCTTTGAAGGAAAAAAAAAAAAAATAAAAACAAAATGTGCAAGGCCTGGGTTGGTTTCCATTCGTGCAAGTACCACCTTTTTTGGGAACAGCAAGGGTGTGAAACCAGCCTACGGAGCCTGCTGTCAGCAGTGGGTGACGCAGCCCACAGCCAGTCAATAGTCATTAGGAGCCAAAAAGGCAGAGAAACCCGGCCAACTCGAGCAAAAGATGCAGCAGCAAAGAAGAGGGCAGAAGTCTGGCATTTACTTCTCGCATCGTGGTCTGCTTTTATTCTTGCTGTATTAAAACTGTCATGGCTTTATGCTAATGAGGTTCATTCCTAGCCAGTGATTATTATGCTTTGAATTAGCAGTGCTCTTGAGAGTATTTCTCATGAAAAAAAATGAGGTAGTCCTCCTGAGAAACAGGAGCGAGAGGGGAAAAAGAGCTGTTACTTGCATTAGCTCAGAGCTGTGTGTGTTTGGAGGGGATGAAGGAGAAGGGCCATGTTTATGGCTGATGGAGAACACAGCAGGACTCCCGGAGCACAGATCTGTGTGAGAGACGATACTGAAATTCAGGGAAGAGCAGTCAAAATATGGAAATGGTTTTGACGCTGTGTTTGGCTTTTAATGAACCCGCCCTTTGGGTAAATTCCTTTTAACTTCTGTGTTAGTTTTGCCTGACTCTGAATTCGTACTCGTTTACCCTGAATGGGAAAAGCTTCCCGGGAGCAGTGAGAGTGCAGCTGGTGTGGGACAGAGGGGATGTGCGTTGCGAAAGGAGAGGATTTTTAAGGGATGTCAGTTCTCCAGGGAATGGCCTCAGCAGTACCAGTTAAGACCAGCTCTCAAAGAGAAGTTGTTGCAACTCTGAGATTTAGTAACTAAGGCACCTGGGTAGCAGAAATGGCGGCTCAGTGATGGGGAAAAGGAGAAAGGGTGAGCAGCAAGAGGAATTTCATTATGTTTCAGCTGTGGGTTTATGCAGCAAGAAGCCTAATTCAGCAGCAGTAGTGTGTCATTCCCAGTTTGCTCAATGGGCCGCTTCTACACCCTGTATCCCCCAAGTAAAGCAGCCAAGACAATACCAGCCCGTTACTTTTAACAGCATCTCTGAAATATCACAGCAGTGGAACACAGTGTCATCTTACATGCTTTAACTAGAGGCGTCTTAAAAATGGAGGAGGGGGAAAAGTCATGGTCCCTTTGGATCTGCATATAGAGTGAGGTGGTCCATGCCCCGTGCTGGTCTTCAAAGCCCAGCAGGTTCCAGTGAAATCAGAAAGTGTAAGGAAATTTCTGATTTCCTCTTCTTTTTACCCTCACAGTTTATTCAGCATAACCAGGCAATTTTCAGCCTTGATGCAGCATGTCCCCAGCCCCTGAACAGGACAGAGCCTTGTAATAGATTCTCTCTATAAGAAGGTATTTCTCTAGGCAGTCGGGCACAAAGAGAACAGAATGAAATGCTTTGACCGGACTACCTTTTTGTCTTCTGCTTTAAATAGAAAGATGATGTTCTCAGAAATGTCTGTCTTTCTCTCCATTACCCCAAAGAATAGTTGTTTTTAACCATTTCCACTGAAGCAGCTGGGCTCTCTGTATCTTGCTGGCTAGCTTTTTTTTCTCCAGAAAGTTACAGGCAGCTGTATCTGGCACCGATATATTTTACAGGCGAAAGGATTGTGTTGCCAATGGTAAAAACAAACAAAAGAGCAATAACAAAATAACCAACCTTCTTGCGAAAACCTGAGGGGCTCAAATAGTATTTCAGTCTGGAGTTCTGATAATGGCACTGCCTTTGTGTTAGAGATGCGTCACCAGCTATTCCCATGAAAACCCACCTAAATATGGCACGCTGAAAGCCTCGGAAAAATTTCCATTGAGAGGCATAAGAATTTGCCAGCCAAAATCTCTGGTGATTCTGTTAGTGTGGAGTAGGTGTGCTCATCCCGTCAGAGCGATGTTCTTGCTGAGGTTCCCAAGCCTGTGCTTATGGCTGAGGTTAGTACTTAAGGTACTACAGGTGTAATAGGAACACTGGGCTGCTGTCTTCAGAGCGGGAGAGGCGATGATCTGTGTCCTGTCTTTATGAATCCAGGCTGTGTGTGTGCAAACCGCTCCAATCAGTTTTACTGGCGGTGTCTCATTACAACACAAGCCTGGGAAATTATATCACATTTAAAAAAAACAAACACCACGAACAACTGAAAAAAAAAAACCAACACAAAAAACAACGCAAAAACCCCTCCTGTATGCTGAGTGAATTGCGCAGATGCTTTTTTTAGGGAGAGAGAGTGCATGCTTCAGCCCGGGGCTGGGAGAGCTTATTGCAGGGCTGGCAGCTGTGGCATGGAGAGACCCTCTCTCCTGGGCTACTGGTACCTTCACCCTGTCGGTGTTTTCCTTTGTGGTCCTGGCTTACCTCTCTCTGTGCCTCTAATCACAGCGACGTTATTTCTCAAAACTATCAGCATATTTTCCCTGCAAATGTGAGGGGGGGACCATGCAATGTAACTGCGCCAAGTGACCACTCCCAGACTTCTCTTGCTCTCAGTGGGGAGGAAGGGTAATTGAAATTCTACACATTTTTTTTTTTAAGTATTGAGACTATCATGATGTATTACGGTGTAAAGGTTGCAGAAAGCTGAATCTTTTAACAGCAGAAGCTCAGTGAAAACCTGTAACCCCCCCTAGGGAATTCAGCCCTAAGTGTGGACTCTATTAAAATTCTCAAAGTCCCTGTGTTAAATGGTAAGAACTGGAAGGCAATGAGTGGGCAGGAAAGCGGGACTGAAAGAGAACCTTCTGCATTTTTAGCACCCTTTCTGTCACTAGGAAATTCCTAATGCAGCCCCTTTTGCAACCCAGGCAGTTTTAATGGACACAGTAATGATACCAGAGGGTCATTATTTATCAGGGTCCTTGCTCCTAATAAATATTAGTTCACGGAAACGTTTCTTAAAAAGAATTGCAATATTTCTTTTAAGCAGTATTGCATCATTTTTTTGGAGCTTTCTCTTCCCCAATCTCTGTCACGCTTCCCCAGGAATGGCTGGCAGATGGACTGCCAGCTGTCTAGAGCGATGCAGAACAATTTGTTAAAGATAACTTTGCTATTGTAATAATCTATATTCCTGTTCAATCTGATGGTTGATACTGATCTTTACAGTAGATTATGGGTTCCACTGAAAGGAAAGAAAATAATGTTAAAATAATAAAGAATACAATTTTTTCCCTTTTTTTACCGTTCTCTGTAACCATGGAAAATTTTGACCATCTGTGTGGTTCTCTGATAATTTATTAAAGCATTTATTTCATCCCCCCCCTTTTTTTTTTCTCCTTTTCTTGCTGGAACTACAGCTGAGGAAGTGGAAAGACTGGCTGCGATGCGTTCCGATTCTCTAGTACCTGGGACTCACACGCCTCCAATCAGAAGAAGAAGCAAATTTGCCACTCTCGGAAGGCTTTTTAAGCCATGGAAATGGAGGAAGAAGAAGAGTGAAAAATTTAAGCACACTTCAGCAGGTAATAGTCGCAGTCGTGTTAGTTTGTTAATCTGGAACTGTTTGCTCAACGAAGCTAAAAATTTGTAGTGCGGCCCCAATTTATACATGTCTTTAAGGCTGGTGAAGCTTGGCTTGGAGAGATTTCTCAGATTCTAGGAGATCTTTAACTTTGTTACCAACTTTTTCTTTAAAAAAAACCAACAAAACAACACGTTGGGTGTACTGCAACTAAAGCAGCAGCTCGCCAAAGCTGTATATTCAGGTTCTGCTACTAGAGCTAGAGGATAACCCAGAAGAAATTTTGTTACATTGATTTAGCAGATTATGGGTAAAGGAAGTGGCAGTATGAAAAGACAGCGCTAGTGGAGGATTTAGCCACATTCAAACTCGTGTAAGTGCTAATAGAGGAGCGAGAAAAATACATGACAAAGGAGTTGACATTGTGTTGAGTAACTTGCGTAACCATAAATTATTTGTTCCATTGGGCAGGAAAGATGTGTCACTTGTTTTCTGAGGAAAAAAAAAATCTCTTACTGCCACACCCCTCCTTCTTTCATCGCTTTCTAACACTCCTGGTTTAGGACTCTTTAATTAAAAAAATAAGTATGCAAAACTGCAAAAACATGTTTTTATATTGTAAATTGGTCTGAACAAGAATCCCAGATCCAGGCACTGATGCACATGGTGGAAGTTTGTACCTGGCGTGTTTGTTTTCAAGCTTTGTGATCTATTTAGAAGGTTTCGTTTCTTTGTTCTTCCATGATGACTATTAAATACTACATGTGTTTTTGCAAGTCTTGAGCCTGGATTGTCTGTGAGAAAACATGTATTTTCTTCTGGTTTCTTATAGTTCTCACTAAAACTAGAAAGCAAGCAGTGAGGCTCTTGCTCCCTTAAGTGCCAGAAAAGGCTTGAGTTACAGCCCAGTTGCTCTCTGACCTGTTTATTGCACAGTGGAAGCTTTCAGGCAGGAGCTGACTGTACCTTCTGGCACCCTGACACCTGTACGCCTGAAAATGGCCTATAATTGCACGAGAAGTCTCATTTAGCTAAGTGCAAATTCTTGCATGAGGTTAAATGCAGAATAAGAGTTTTCAGGGTTCATACCTGCAGGTGCTCTTTGCTGTGTGCTGTTGAAGCTGCTCTCTGATTCGTCAGGTGGAGACCAATGAACTGGAATAGGTGGCTGTATTACGCTGGGGGATGATTGTATTTTTTGACTTGACAGCTGAGAAGCTATTGTCACCAAAAATGACATGTTTCTGCAAAACAAAAGGCTTGTCTTTCATGTTCTGTATCAGTCATAACCGTAGTGCAGTGTAGCAGGATTTCCATGAAAACTGTGTAGCTCTTAGGGATAGGTGGACGCTGTGGTGACAACTACTTTGATGCTAATTCCAGCATGCTGGGTTAGGTGGGTACAACTAGGAGGATAACCACAGCAGTTCAGGACGTACCAGGGGTTGCAAAAGCCTGTGTAGTATTCATTTGTATGGTTTATCCAGCTCGGGAGCTGGGGCTGAGCTGCATACTGCTGTGGTTAGACTGATTAGTTTGAAGCTGGCTTGAATACGCCTGCGTAGTCTGCTCTGGGCATTACAAGAAGTGTTACGTAGATTTGCCCCGTTTACCAAAACATTTGGAAAGTAAACTGTGATTAAAACCAGAGCAAAACCATGTATTTCCTTTTCTCAGAGGAGGAGGAAGCTTTACCAGACATGCCAGCACATCTCCTCCCCTGCTAAGAGGGACTTCAGAGTCTGAAGAACTAATTTAAAAGCTGGGTCTCCCAGTTGCAGGGAATGTTTGTCGATTGCAATACTGGGTTTGATCTCAGCTGAATCCAAAACCTTTTTTTTTTTTTTTAATTTTTTTTAAATTTTCATTTCTAGTAAGCTAACAGTATCCTGCAGCTGCTCTGCAAAATTGGTATTCCTGTCAGCTCCCCTGCTACTAACTGCAGGAAAATTGACAAGGATGTCAAATTTGCTGAGCACCCTGCAGGAGGCACTGGGAGAGATTGACTTTCAGACTGTACCAGAGCTGGGGACCCCACAGTTTCCATCATCCCTGGACCCTGGGGAACAGGAATCCACCAGGATCCTACCAGACTCCCCTGGCAATTCAGCAGCGCTGGTTGAACCTAGTATGTGTAATGCAAAATATTTTGCACTGGAAAACTAGCATTTTTCTGCCAGCATTTCCATGACCTCTCATCTAATACCTCTGATCTCACTGAGAAAATATATTTAATTTTTACAATAAATCAAAAGACAAGCTTATGAGATGGCATAATGAGAGCCAGCATGAAACTTCCTAATAGAGGCTTATTTTCTTTTAGTGCACTGATAAATGTGACGCTTGGAAAAAAAAAATATTTCCCATTAGTGTCCTACAGGCATGCAACCAAGCTTTCCCACCTGCATAGAACATCAGTAATTACCAAAAAATAAATACTAATACAAGTATTTTATTAGGCTCTTATTTGCTGCAACAATAGATTCAATTATTTTAAATGTCAAAAGTGGTAAGGGTCAAAACACAGGACCTTATCTGTTGAAACTTCCTTTGAAATTAATGGGAGTTTTTTTCTGGGAGAGGACTGGAAGAAAGAGAGAGTCAGGCTGATATTTAAGGTTGAAAGGTTGCCTTTGTCTTGAGATTTCCAAGTGCTAACATTTTGTATCCATATCTTTATCAGACTAAAAGCTCTGATTATTTATTCAGAGATGAATGCTTTACTTCAGTGATCAGTCGGCAAAAAACCCTTTTAGGCAGTAGGAAAAGTTACTTTGTGACACCTGATAATTGCATAAGATGAGAGAGAAAATCCGTAATTTGACTGATGGAGGCCCTTAACGTTATGGTTATTACATATGGTTCCTTTCAGCACATGAATACTCATATCATGATGTTTGAGCATAACAAGTCCCACGTCCTCTGTCTTCATTATTGCATTGTCACTGACAAGCAGAAGGTTAAAGCGATGCACGTGTTTCCTATACTTTATATGTTTATAGGTTACGTTGGTTCTGATATCCCTGTAGCGACTAGGCAGAAAGGTTCAAAGTCTGACATTGCCTTGGTGCTGACTTAGTCGTGAAGGTGAAAATCATGGGTTTTGATGCAGACATCTAATGCCTTTGCCTTGCAGTTGGTCTGTCCGTGAGCATCATCATTAGGTATTTTGTAGAGTGACCAGAACAGGTAGAAGAGGTCACGCTATGGCGTGGTCTGTTGTTGCAGATGGTAAGCGCCAGACGAGCCCGCATCTGGGGTTTGATTTGAGCGACCTCTTCTGCTGGAAGGTAGAGTATTGAGGAGGTTGTTCAGGACACGCACGGTGAGTGACAGATGTGCTCCGTCTGTGAACAGGCTCACTCTGAGAGCAAACGGGAAGGGAGATTATACTGGGTGAGGGACACCGGTGTACCACAGCGGGCTGAGAAACAAATTAATTCTCACAGTAATCCTCCTTCTGGACACAAGTGAAGCTCCCCCCAGCACAGCACGTTTTCCAGTGTCGGGATTGCAAATCATTTTACCGGAGAAGGTCCTAATGAAAGTTCTTTGATGGACGCTGAAACTCCCACAGTACAATATAAACGCTCCTGACTGAAGTTATATATACAGGGACTTAGACAAGGAAATTAAACTTGGACACAATGTTATTCATGCTATAGTCAAAAGTGTGTTGTATTTTTTTTAACGTGCCTAAAATTTCATCTTGCACAGAAAGCGTGGAAACCTTTATTACCATGGAGGGCTGAGGGCCCCTCACGGCAATGAACAGTATGATAAAGCTGACAACTCTAGCTTTGGGAGCAGAGGCAAACGTCTAAATGGCAAGATTATATCAGTTGATGGGACAGTTTCTTTTAACTGATAAGGAGCAGTCTCACTTATGGCAGAAGAAGCCAGGAAGAAACAGTGAATTTTCTTTGCCTGAGTATTTTTCCATGGTGGATGCAGCTGGGATGGCTCCAGCAGGCTGCACAAGGTTTTTAAAGCCACACTGGGCTCTCTGGGAATCGGCAAAGCAGATAGCAAAAGAGAAAGGTGACTGTCTCCTCAGCCAGACCTTTGTCATTGTTTTTAATACCTTGATCTTGTTCTGCTTGCCTTGATGTGAATTTGAAAACAATTCCTGGGTGTGTTGTTGTTTTATTGCAGTGCCGTACACGTGCTGGTGAAATGTCATTTCCTGGCAATGGTTTGGAGAAGGAGGTGCTTCTGAAATAACGAAGCCTGAGGGAAGATAGGTTCTGGGCTTACTTGAAATATTATTGAAGTTTTTTATCACTGTATTCATCAAGAGCCAACTGCTTGCAACCTTTCAGAAAAAAAGTATTTCAGCTGCTTGCAGGAGTCTGTATAGGGGAAAAAGGTCTTGTTTTGCCGTTTCACATTTCTGTTGACCTTCATTTTAAAGAATTTATGTGTCCATCTTCCCCCATCCTTTCTCCCCGAGTTGCAGTGCTCAGGTAGAGGGGAGGAGGACGCACGTAACTTGTACTTGGAGGAAACTGGTTGGACTGAGAAGAGGAAAGCGGGAGATGGTGAGAAATTAAGGGGCGTGGAGAAAACTCAGTTGTAAGTGGGAGAGGCAAGGGATTCAGCAATGTTTGGGTTAGGTTCATAGGCACCCTGTACAATGAGCAGAGAAAGTCCAGTGGCCAGAAGAAAGCTCCATAGCAGCTCTATTGCTAAGTAGAGGGTTGTCTGAGACAGTCGGTCATACTAAAGAGAGAAAAGGAAATCTGTTAAACTCGGGCTTTGCAGTCCTCCTGGGTACTTTGAAACCTCCCTTCATTTGTGTACAAGATCCCCCTCCTGGAATTACTTGCAACTTCGTCCACAGGGCCGTGAGTGTGGCACCAGGGGACTTATCCAGCTCCCATCCCCAAAACCCACGATTGAGCTAGCGAGCCATGTCCTGTTCTGTGGCCAAAGACAGACATGACGGTGACTTCCTAGCCTTGTGCTTGGGGTGCTCTCCTGAGAAGAGGGAAGTCCCAC